GGTGGCAGAAGTAGGTTTGGAAAGAAACGGTGGAAAAAATTTACTAAGAGATACAAAGGATAGATGTTGTGGAGAGCCATGATCAATTATATCCTGAAGGAACATGACACACTGAAAAAGAAATTGATGAACAAAAAGAGGGCTTAATAAACTCGGTGTGGATCAGTAATTTTCCTCAAAGAATTAAACGTTCTCCTGTTTAAGAGTAAATGTGTTTCCCAACCTGCCTTTTTATTTCAACCTACTCTTCGACGTTAAGACGGATGGATGCCAGAATATATATATATATATATATATATATATATATTGACTCATCTTTGTTGACATATTTATCACAACGATTCGGCCGTTGCACGCTCCGGCCTTCTTCAGGTGGTTGAAATGTGGAACTGAACCCTTTATTTCGCTCACTGGGGTAGACTCTTCCAGTTCCACGTGCCATATCTCCTGTTAATTCGCCTCTCCAAGTTCTCCACCGCCTTAACCAGGTATTGAACTCACACTCTTTGCGTCCTGTCACTGAATCTAACTAACGCCTTTATCCGCTGTGCCATGTATCCTCAAGGAAATCATGGAGAGCCATAGTCACCACGGCAAGAGTATAGAATGGAAGATGTCAACAACAACCGCTGCCATTCTTCGTCAAAGCAGATAGACAAAGAAGATTACCTTTTTTTTTAAGTCGGCGTCTAGGAACGGATAAAACATTTTCTGGTGTAAATTAATAGTAATTATTAGGTTGGTGCGAAAATAATGGTGCGACATTAGGTTGGTGCAAAAAATAATGTCGTTTTTGACGTTCGTCAAAAAACGACATTATTTTTGCACCAACCTAATACTTCTTCATTCTACAAAGGACAGTTGAAAAAATCTGTATTAATGTAGATGTCTCGTAAAGGAAAAATAGCGTAAAACGGAAGATGTGTTTGTAATATAGTGCATAGCTAACTAGTTGACTGAAAGAACCCTTTTAACTTCCGTCCACGTGACTAATGCTGACCCTCAGGAGAGTGACTCATAGCGACTCCTTGGACTCACGTTCTCTTCTGATACGATGTGAAAAGACTATATTAAATCCATTGCTCGGTGCATTGTGTTGTGCTAGACAGCTTTTCTCGCTAGAATCTTATCGTACATGTTCATAAGCCGACCATTCGCCATTGCTTTGGATATTGCTGTCACATGTCTTGGTGCTTTATTAAAGGATTCTTGATAAAATCGAAAGAAGAACCTTCAATGTTCTTTTCTATAAAATAATTTCATGGTAATTGTTCTGGTGAACTTTCATCTATGGTAAATAGACTTCCTGGATTTAAGTGCATTAACGAGATTAGCGACAAGATTTTACAAGCGAAATGTCTAGATGCAACCTTAAGTTCTGTGCTAATAGTTTATTCTATCGCTTGTGGAACTATCTTACGGCTTCTTGCATCCCAATCAAATTTAAACGTCAACAATTTAAATGCAATGTCAATCGTTATTTTCTGATTTGTGAATTTTTGTTCTTTTATTGTTCTCTCTTCTTAATAGAATATTTTTCTCATCTTATCACTCGTAAGTTCTAAACTAACAGTTCCTTCGATCGCACTTCTCGCCTGTGGAACTCTCTTCGGACTTCTTGCTTCCCAGTCAACTTTGGTCTTCAAAAATTTAAATGCAATGTCAATCGTTATCTTCTGTCTTCTTAATTCCAGTGCTTTTATTGTCCTCTCTTCTTAATAGAATATTTTTCTTAACAGAATATTTTTCTCATCTTGTCTAACAACCATAAGTTCTATACTAACAGTTTCTTCGATCGCACTTCTCGCCTGTGGAACTCTTTTCCGACTTCTTGCTTCCCAGTCAACTTTGGTCTTCAAAAATTTCAATGCAATGTCAATCGTTATCTTCTGTCTTCTTAATTCCAGTTCTTTTATTGTCCTCTCTTTTTAATAGAATATTTTTCTTAACAGAATATTTTCTTATATTATCTAAGACTCGATCACGCCTTGCGTCTTAGTGGTTTTATTGCCTTGCATGGGATGAAATATTTTTACAAAACGCAGATCGTTGTTACGAATTCAATTTTTAATAAATGTCAAACATATTTTCTTACATCTTTAAAAATTCTGGCTATGTCATGCGGAAGTGCATAAGTAGCGAACCTCGAAGACCTACTGTCATGAATTCGACTATCGAGATGCTCTAAATTTCCGGCCTTTTGCCAGACTAAGACAGGCTTTTGTTTACAGCTATAACGTCGTTTTGGGTCGGGGGGGAGTTAGTAATCAGTTTTTCTCGTTGTTAGTTTCGTTACTTTGACCATACGAAGCCCTTTAGCCAGTTGTGTTCAAAAACCGACAAAGTGAGCTCTCTCCTTGCAAGACAAAGAAATTATTCGTTTTGATGAAGCATAAGGAAGTCTGCCTCGGATTGTGGAATTTCTTATCCTTTGTGAAACTAATTTAAAATCTTTTTTTTCTTCTTTTCTTTTCTTTATTTTCTCATCAAATTTAGTCCGAGAATAATAGAACCGGGAGTTAAGCATTGCACAAAACGAATGATTCGAACGAAGAGGAAATCAATTTTGTATTGTATCCAGTACCTGACAGTTTTAGACCTGAAGTTGTATGGAGGCGCGATGGTGTAATGGATAGCGGCTAGGACTGAGAAATTGGAGAGCCGAGTTCGAATTTCAGTGGAGTTCATTAAATTCACTTTGGGAAATGTAGCAAATGAACGTAGAGGCAAGGTGCAGTAATGGTTAACACCAGGACTCAGGAACCGGAGAGTTCATTAGATTCACGTACGTGTTTATAACTTTGGAAATGTAATAACTGGCGTGAGGAATCATGGTGCAGTAATGGTTAGCGCTTAACAGAAGAGCAAAATTCCAGTTCATTACATTCAATTACGTACTACTACCCTTTGGGAGGGGCATACATCCATCTGTTCCCCCTATCTATGGTTAAATAGCAAGATGAGCCCTATACCCTCGGTTGGCAACCAACTCTGAATTCAAACCAGCCTGCAGTGGGTTAGGCTCCATCAGGCTGGCTTGCCCATGTGGAACCCCTACGATCCTAAACGCTAACGGGTCTACAGACATAAACTAGTTTGACACAAGGACACTTGTAAACAGTAGCCCGATTGGTTTTCCGACAGCTCTACAGCTAGGATAGGCTAACTCATGGTCGAACACATTATTATTACAAAAACAACACCAGTTTCACGACAATATAAATAAAAATATGTAGGTATGTTCAAGAGATATAGAGTGGATAGCGGCTCGGATTTAAGGACCAGAGTGCTGAGTTCAAATTCAAGTTCCGTTCACTTACGTTTCCTTATTAGCGCTAATACTCTTGGCAAATGTATGAATCAATCTCCCACAGCCTTGGATAAATAGCAGGACAGACTGAGCTTTATCGCTTTTGTTGACAACTAGTATATGAAGAAAGGGAAAACTCTGAATTCAAACCACCTGTTGCCTTGTAGGCCTTTAACTTCGTAGAGGACGGACTGCGTAATCGCAATATTCTGATATTTTTAGATTGTAAGAATTTTATTTTTCGAGGACGGACAATATTTTGGTATAAGCTGAAGAAGGCGATGATATATATAAGTTCAGAGCAGATAACATTAGAAAGATTTTAAAGTCCCATGAAAATAAGTGGATACAACGTCTAAAAACACAATATCCAGCCGGCCAAATCATAAATTTAACAATATATAGTCAACAAATCAAAACCTACCCACACTTCTCACCCACACAAGACAGACATGCTTACGGAGGTGTGGAGGCCTCACACTTATACACACACCCACACGAATATACACACTTACACACATCATACTCACTCACTCCCTAAGGAGCCAAATGATAACACACACCTACAGCAATACACACGCTTACACATATCATACTCACTCACTCCCTAAGAACCAAGTAACACACACACAAACACTAAACAGAGACACATCCCCTCACCAGGTCCAATAAAACTGTCAAACTGACCAGTGAATTCAGAATAATATGTATCTATCCAGCTCTTATTTCAGATAACAACTTAAAAGAGACTGACCAACACAAGGAATGTTAAAAGATTCATGTTAAAAAGATAAGAAAATAAAAAATAAAAAAAAACAAATGAAAACTACAGACAAAAGTTTCATTTTCTCCATCAAGACATTCATTTCTGTAGTTCACTGCTACCAGCAAGCAGAAATATTTCTCCTCCCGATGATGGCCATTTCGGTCGAAACTAGTCGAGGAATCTAAATGGAATAATAATAAAAAAAATGAAAGAATATTAATCTACAACCTAGTGTGTCTAAAGATTTTAATTTTTTATTTTCTTATTGTTCAATATATATATATATATATATATATATATATATATATAAAAAGAAAAATAACCGAAGATCGTATACACCAACTTGTCGGTGATGAGGTCCAAATACGACAGACATTTACACTATTTATATTCTTTAGACTGTTGTCCTCATCTTTGTTGTCATTCTCGATATTTTGGCCGTTGTAACCTCAGGCCTTCTTCGGGATCTGTCTATATTTATGAGATGAGGTATTTTAACTATTTACACTATTTACATTATTCGTAATGTTGTCCTCGCCTTTGTTGACATATTCACAAGGTTTCAGACGTTTTCGCCTTCTTCAGGTGATTGGAATTTCGAACTGAATTTAGAAAGATGAGAAGAACAGTTCGAACAATATAAATAGTGTAAATAATTGCAATACCTCATCTCAGAATTATAGACAGATACGACAGATATATTGAATGGATTAATTGTTTTTTTTACGGTTTATCTATCCTTTTTTAGAGGGAAGAGTAATAATGATTTAGCGATACAATTCTTACTAATTAACCCTTATTTGGGGGAGAGCAAGTTGATTCATACATTTCTCAAGGGTATTTACTCGTGAGTGAATAAAATGAAACCGACTGGAATTGGAACTGGACAGTCTGATTAACAATCTCACACACATCAAATCTTCCTGCACCTGGTATTTCCCAAACAGTCACCCACCTAGATACTGACCAGATTTGAAATTGCTTAACTTCGGTGATCGTATGGGAACTGATGTTTCAACGAGATGTAGCCGTA